TCTTTTTTCAAATATGATGATATAATCCATGAAAGTTAATCTAAAGGTGCATGGACATAAATTTGAAGTTAATCTTTTCTGTATAATATCACGACTTATATATTTTGATAGCATTTCACACAAAAATTTATGAAAAATTTTATTTCATCTTAAAGTTATCGAAACTTCAAATTTTTGGATAGGTTTGATTGACACATCCTTAATTTGCACTCTCACAAATTTTACTTTTATTCTTAATACTTAGGAAAATTGGCAATCTTGTTGTGTATTAATGAAAAATATTTAAACTTTAATCCAGCAAAATAATTATATTCAGAGTAGAAATGTTAGAAAGCTAAACCCCTTCACAAGTATCGTCATTTTGCGCTAAGTGTTGTGTACAGAGTTAAGCAGATAGATCACATCCATGAAACGTACACAGTTTTTGTAAGCAGGACAGAGCTCTACGAAAGCCCAGAAGGCTCATTCGAGATTCAAGTTTCGAAATACGAGATTCAAAATTCGAGATTCGAAATTCGAGTTTCGAGATTCAAGATCCAGATTAACCAATCAAAAGGCTCATTCGAGATTCGAGGTTCGAAATACGAGATTCGAAATTCGAGTTTCGAGATTCAAAATCCAGATTAACCAATCAAATGCGGGTTCAACTTTTGATTACTCCCCTTTATTATGTTTTATCTATCAATAAATCGTTTAATATATTTATTACAAATGAGTCATTTGATTAAATTACAATACAAGAAAGAGTATTATATATAATAGAAGGAAAGTTAAATAACCATTGGATTTTTGAACAGCAAGATATACTTAAATTTATATTATGACTTCTTAAATATTAAATAGAATGCATATATCAGGAATATATATATTTTTGCATTGTCTACTTTATATAAATGGTTGTTGACATAATAATAAAGATATAAATAGTGACTAAAGATTCACAAAATCCCCACCCCTACCCGCCACACCTGCCACTTTTTCCCGACACTGAAAATGTTACTTTAAAAACTTGAAAAGCAATGTAGCCTTGATAAATAAAAACCGTGTTCGTTTTCCCATTAGAGGGAATACTCAGTACATAAAAATAAAGTTTTCAATTACTTATCTTAATCTTAGGCTTTGATTTCTTGAATTAATTAACAATTATATATACAATACAGATTGCAAATATGAATTAGAATAAATGCAGCATTCATTTTATCTGAATATCAAACAGTAGATTAGTCTAAATTAGCTGCAGAATAGCGTTATGGTTTTATTTAAGTCTCTGACCATAGCGTTATGGTCAAAGATTAAAATATACTCGGTTTTTATTTACCAAGGCTACATTGCTTTTCAAGTTTTTAAAGTAACATTTTCAGTGTCGGGAAAAAGTGGCAGGTGTGGCGGGTAGGGGTGGGGATTTTATGAATCTCTAGTCACTATTTATAACTTTATTATTATGTCAACAACCCTTTATATAAAGTAGACAATGCAAATATATATATATCCCTGATATATGTATTTAATATTTAAGAAGTCATAATATAAATTGAAGTATATCTTGTTGATCAAAAATCCAATGATTATTTGACTTTCCTTCTAATATATATAACACTCTTTCTTGCATTGTAATTTAATCAAATGACTCATTTGTTATAAATATATTAAACGATTTATTGATAGATAAAACATAATAAAGGGGAGTAATCAAATGTTGAACCCGCTTTTGATTTGTTAATCTGGATTTTGAATCTCGAAACTCGAATTTCGAATCTCGTATTTCGAACCTCGAATCTCGAATGAGCCTTTTGATTGGTTAATCTGGATCTTGAATCTCGAAACTCGAATTTCGAATCTCGAATTTTGAATCTCGTATTTCGAAACTTGAATCTCGAATGAGCCTTCTGGGCTTTCGTAGAGCTCTGTTATTGTTGATGTTTACGATTCACCGTTGGGTTCAATTTTTTAATTCTGTTTATCACAACTGCACGGCTGACAATATACTGTGTGTATGTTTTGCTTCCGAACATTTCTACTCTGAATTTTCTGGATTATAGTTATAATATTTTTCCTTAATACACAACAAGGTATCTACTTTTCCTAAGTATTAAGAGTGAAATTAAAATTTGTGAAAGTGCAAGGATGTGTCAATCAAACCTGTCTAAAAAATTGAAGTTTTAACAACTTTTAGATGAAAAAAGATTTTTAATATATTTTTGTGTGAAATGCTATTTAAATATATATGTCGTAATATTATACAGGAAATATTATCTTCAAATCTGTATCCATGCACCTTTAAAACTGGGATTATATACTTTAGGACTAGCATGAGCAAAATTACTCTGTATGTAGGCTGCATGTAAAAATGAAAATACAAACTTAATAATACCGAATACTTCAAAAGAGGAAAATAATGGATCTTTTTCCTCTAAAAATCCCTCCGTCACAAAATATAGTTCTTCATTATTTTTTTCGGTATGGAATTCAATCATGGGATTTTAATCAAATGTAGTTTAATCAACATTAAGGAAACTAAATTTATTATAAGAACTAAAACATTATGTAGATTTCTTTAATTGAGGCCAAAACAACAATCCGCCGAAAAACTGAGGAAGGAATCTTGACAAGTATTTGTTTTTATTTAAGCTCTCTAATTTTTATTTTTCAAAATACTGTTATTTGAAGTTATATGTTTTAGGTCGCTCTATTATGACGTCAGCATAGTATGCGTGATAAAAAAAATTACTGTTAATTAAAATTATATTTTAAAGAAGAAACAAAAGAAGCTCTTCACAGATTAAAAATGCATTCATAAGTAATAAAATAAGCATTTCTATTTAAACATTTTTGATTACGATTGTGTAAATAAAGGACAATCATTCTTGAAACAAGAAAAGGAAAAAAAAAATACTTGACAACCATTATATTCTCTCCCTCTAATTAGTTGTAAAAAGTAAAGTAAAAGAATGTATTTTTAAGGAAGCAATTTTTGAAAATTTGATTTACATGTAATTTTATTCACCAAAAACAATGTTTTATCAAAGTGTTTGCAAATAAATTTCAAAACATAATATGTATAAGTTATGTTATAACATTGCCATTTTTATAATTTTTTTTTGTAACATTAATTTTTTAAATGATAAAAGCGTAAGATTTTTATTAAATGAATTATACATCGATTGATAAAAGATAATTATGAGGAACTGTGGTAGGTTTTTAAATCATTTAAAATTTCAATAATTGGTACATGTATTTTACTTTTTCCTAAATTATCATTTTCACGAATAATTTTCTAAAAAAGAAAAAAGTGAAATACTTATCGGAAACGAAATTAACCATAAATTCAGAAAACCGATTTAAAAAGTTAAAAGAACTACGAACGCTACCTTTCTATTTTCGTCCTCCTTCTTCAAAATAACTTGCATTTGATCCTTCAAACGGATTTGAATAAAGAATATTTCTTAAGGAGGTTGGTTCCTGTTATCAAAAGTATTTTTTGCAGGTATATTTTAGAATCTACACACATAAGAAATGAAAACTCATAACAAAAAATTGGGGTCAGTGTGCTACTTTTAGCACTACGGAGCAATTTATATATTAACCTCTCTGCAATATCATTACGTCAAACAGATAAGTGAGTTTTCATAGTTTTTTCCATAAATATTTTTTATCAAAATGAATTACAGGATCAAACATAGTCTTTTTCATCTTAAATTGTCATAATAAATATAGTGAAAACAAAAATAGTTTAAAGCTTCTTCAGTTCGGAATAATGATTTTTGTCCTTTTTACACTAAATATGTTATTCTTCTGGTGTAAAAAATGTAAAAAGCAGTAAAATCGTTTGAAAGTTAGTACATTTTTTTCGTATTTAAGCACGCTGATTGAAATTATCTTATATTTAAAAAATTGAAATAAAAAAAGTGGGGTGGGGGGTGGGGGGTGGGGTGGGTGTGTGTGTGTGTGTGTGTGTGTGGGGGGGGGGGGGGTGATGTCACTTTTAGATATTACCAGAAAAAGGCATATAAAGCTTTAATTGGGTTACGTTTTCAAGTAATTTCATGATATATTTTATCTATTTGCCAAATTTGATGAAAGAATTCACGAAAGTTAATTTATAATTTAGGACCAGCATATAATATTTCGCTGCACATTATTACTCTGTTTGCAGAATTCATGTAAAAATGGGAATCCAAACTTAACAATACTGTAAACTTTGAAAGAAGAAAAATTATCTTTTTCTTCTAAAATCCTTTCGCCACAACCTATAGTTCCTCATTATTTTTTTTTCGGTTTGGAATTTAATCTTTGGATTTTAATTGAATAATACTTTAAAATTAATATTATAGCAACCAAATTTATTATAGGATTTAAAACATTTTGTTTGTTTCTTTTTTAATTAAGGCCAAAACAAAAATCTGCTAAAAAGCTGAGAAGCGAACCTCGATAAGTATTTAATTTATTTATGTAAAACCAACATCAAAAAAGTTAACTGACTTTTAATCACTATTTTCACAAGGAGTAATAAATTAATCCATGGAAATAAGACTGTAAACATAATAAAATTTTCAAATATGCATGGAAATTGATAATTCAGACGGAAAACTTTCTTTGTTATAAATACTTGAAAAGAATTGACATATGACATTGATAGAATATCAGATTTATTATTTGTTATGTCATTTGAAATCGGTAAAAGTGTTCATCTATGCGACTTTTCTTTTTACGCCTCCCCCAAACACAAAGAGATGGTATGAAATTTAAAAACAAACACTCCATAATACCTCAAAATAGTACCTTTGGTTTCACAGAGGTAGAATGTTTGAAAAATTTTGTTCATTTTTTGTTGATTTCTGTGGTAAAAAAAAAACAGGTTAAGCAAACTGAAAGAATTAACTCTTGATTTTTTCTAAATAATATATTTGATGAAAATTTATATGAATATCGTTAAAAATATGAAACTTCATTCAAACATTTTTACACTTGAAAAATTTCTTAAAGATAGGCGACAAAACACAATATCATTTTTCTTATTTCTTTCATATCTTCTAATTTAAACATATAATTTACTTCCGACACAAACAGTATTTCAGCAGTTCGTGGTTTTCGCTGATACATGATGACTGATTACTGTACTTATTTATTCTGCTGATGTCACCATCTAGTCTTCTAAAACGAAATCTTTCATCATAGAATATAGTGGCCTCAAATAAAGCATCTCCCGGTTTTGTTTTGATTTTTATTTGGTAATGTGCCTGGGACTTTACTTTTCTATTTCTACTTTCAAGAACAGGTTCAGAAATTTGAACTATTGACGCATGCTTAATTTCTTCCAAAGCTAACCTCTCACATTTATGGAGAACATGACTTAACTTTCTGTTTAAGCTTCGGACAAGGAAATCGCTCAAAAAATTGATAGTAAGATCCGAGATATTTGCGACTGTATGTCCCACGCATGTACACCAGTGTAGTGCAATTCCTGCATCTTGACATGTTCTCTCCTGTGGAATCTCCCTAAAGAGACTTATCCCTCTATTTTTATATCCATTTCGTTGGATAATCCTGTCGTCAAAATTCAATACGTCTCTCAATGTTTCGTAAATATCAAACGGGGTAGTAAGACGTTTCGTGTTTAATTCAAGATTTTTCGAATATAAAGGATACTTTTCTTTAAACCACTTGGGAAAAACCAGATACATCATCGGCAGTCTTTCCTCCATCATCCCTTCGAAAGTATTACGATAGTTTCCGAAACGAATCCCATGATCACTGAAGACGATGAGGAGGGTATTATTCAAAAGCTGGTCCTCATGTAATTCTCCTATGAAGTTTAGGAGTGGAAGGTCCGCATACTGAGCATTATTAAACTCGTCATGAGTTAAGGTTGTTGCGAATGAAAAAGCAAAATAAGGTAAATTTTGTTGCAATCGTACAAATTTAGCTACATAATCCAATACCATACCAGTTTCAAGTCGATCCATTATACATAAATCATCCGTATTCCATACAGATTTCTCTTCTTGCATAGCCATGAAGAAATGTCGATTATAATAGTCTGAGGGATATGAATGAAATCCGGCCATCAGGTAATCAAAGGTTCCGATCCTGTCCTCAATGTATAGACTTCTGTATCCTTTAGCAGAAAATTGCTTCCAGATAAAGTTATGCCTGTCAAATGGTACGTGTCTATAGGATTCATTGTAGGGAATCTCTTCAACAAACTTTCCGAGTGTGAGTGCAGCAATATTTGGAAATGTATTATCGCCAATTTTATTAAACATGGTCAGATCTGATGCATCTAAAACATCAAGAAGATAGGAACGTGTACGCTTCAGAGATCTAACTGACTGTAACCTTGATATAGAGTCCAGTCCTAGCAAGATTACATTCAATTTTTCCTTGATTGCTGGATTTCCGGAATGCTGTTTGAACGCTTTGTTACACCGTCTTTCAACGTCGGGTTTTTGAAAAACGAACTGGTGAAAGTTTGTATAAATGACCGTGTTTGTCTTGTCAAAACAGTTCACACGAATGAATTCGTCGGTGATGTTCACAGATGTATAAAACTGCGCACTTTCCTGTCCATACCGAAAGAAGTTATGATTGGGGACTAAAACTGGTCTAATAATAGGTTGATAAGTACAGCACGAAAAAGTAGAATATACATTAGAAAGTCTAACTGCCGTCCAATTTATTTCAAGTCTGTGTCCATTTTCAAATGTAAATGATGTTCTGTTCTTACATTTAAAGTCGGTTTCGCTAATTTCATACCTTATACTAGGATTGTACACATTGATTTTTGGAATCTTGCATACATTTATATAGTCTTCAGTATTATTGTAGTGTTGCGAAAACATGTAGGTCATTCTTATTTTCAGTGTTCCTGGTATGTTTTCGTCCACTGACATATAAAGAAGGAGGTTCAAAGAGGATAGCAGAGATATAGCTATGCCAATTTTCTTTCTGAAAGGATAAAAAAGAAATATACAAAAAGTTTAATACACAAGTAAATATGATAAGTTAAAGAGAATACATGTCATTCAAGAACAAAATTGAATATAACGCAGTTGAATTACTCATTTCTAAACGAAAGGACAAATACACACATTATTGTTACCTTTAACCAATTTCGTAAAAATCGCAGAGAAATGATTCTGTAATTTTGATAAAATCAATATTGATACTGACTTTATTTTAATTCTTAGACTAGTGAAGAGAATGCTTTCCTTGCGTTCTCGTTTAATTTTACTTATGGGCTCGATCAAGTGCCATGGAAAAGTATGTATTCCTTGTCGACCTGCCACGACCATGAAGTGTTCTTTGTCATGATCGGACACGGAGAAACTATTCGGTTGACTATTCAGCTTAAAAAACTGGCCTATTATTTTTCTCTTGAAATATCACTTAACATTTGATTAACAAATTATTGTATTTGTTTAAAAGGTCATTGTATTTACCAAATCAATTTTGATATTGAATGTAGATTTGTCCGTTGCTTCCATGTATACTTTTTATTAGCTTGACTTGTTTTATTTTCTGTTGTTACCATGTAGTCAAAATGCATTAATGCATTAAAATCCCCCCTTGCAAAAAACCATCTAGAGGATAAGACTAAGTTATGAAAAGGAGCATTTCAAAAAATGCCTTAAATTCTTGACCAATACACAAAATGTGTTCTTGATGGACAGAGTTTAATAATGTAGAGAAGTTTGTACTTCTCTGTGAGAAATATATGTATATCACTTTTATACTCACCTCATGATTATAATCATAAGAATTGATACATGTAGGTATTAAATTTTATTGAATAAAAGAAAAAAAATAAAGCTTGAATGTTTGTCATATAAAATCAAAATTATCTTATGGATGTATTTACCACTCGTAGTTTTGATTTTCCCAGAATCTAAAAATGTATTAGAGTTTGCATTATTAAATTTCACCCTTTTGTCATTATATACAGTTTTTTTTTACAACTCTTAAATGTACTAACCTTAAAGCTTGTTCATTTGTAACATTTTTTTATTTAAATAATGTCTCGTGGTACACACGATTAATCTAATGTTGCAAAAAGATTTTTGAGTTTTTTTTAAAAAAAAAATCTATGCAGGTTTGAAGATAAGGCCTTTCAATAATCGGACCCTACTCTGAGCATAACTATCAACGGCGTAATATCAATTAACAATATCCATACCTTCATTCATACATATCTAAGTGAACTTCAAGTAAGAGATATAAAAAAATTGACACAAGTGCTTCATATTTAGATGGTTTAGTAGATCAAACCGTAACATATAATCTAACAACATATTTTTTTCTATCGTTAACTCCCCTTGATTGCTTAGCAGTTAACAATTACCACCTGAATATACTCCTGGGTTAATGTTTTTCAGGTGATCTTATACTCGTATGCAAGAGCATGCTTTACTTGCACACAATTTCACGAACGAGGCATGTTGACAAAGAAGTTATTGTGTCAAGAATATTAAGAGTTCCTTTTAAAGTCGTGTTTTGCAAGCTCTTCGTTTAATACACTTCCTTTGCAAGTAAGTTCTACCTAAAGCTGCATGCTGATCTGTAGCTCCTCGGTCTGAAAAAAAATTGGGATGGAATGGTTTGGATACCAGTGAGCTACCTGCCACTTACAGAACAAAATCATATATCATTGCACACAAAAAGATGCACTCGGATTTGGATTAATTTTTCTTACATCTTACCTCAACTGCACAAAAGTTAGATCAAAAATTTTTACACCTCTACCATTTACTCTTAGACTAGTAGGTGACATCTGCACGAAGAACATTGGACCGAATTATCTTGTCACCCAAAATGGCAGTATAAGTTGGCGAAGTCTTCGATGTTTTAAATTTTAAGCGTAGGTTAACTATCTAACGCTTATAAGGAATGTTTTATTGTGGAAATAGTTTTTAGAAAATAATACGAATATACGGTTAGTTATAGTTTGAGATGAAAGTTTGGAAAACACGGAGAAATAAATCTAGAAGCAGCGCACTTTTTTGTGCGCAATAGATATAAACGTTTTGCAAAGGATGGCACTGTAGCTCTCCGGTCTGTTAATATATTTTTTTCGAAGAGCTAAAGTTTTGCATCTATTACTACCTATTGGTAAATCAAAACTCTACTGATATTTTTGTAGAAGAATTAAAGGAGGTTTAAAAAATAGAATGTATCTATCTGAAATTCATAGTAAAAATATTTTGATTTACTAGTTTGATTTACTGAAAACTGATTTACTTAAGTAAACTATAATGAACTACAATACCCTTTTGTTAGGGATGTCAGAATGATATGATATAAAACGAATAAATTTAAAATTAAATATGAACTTGCTTAAGAACAAGACATTTTAATGATCAAAATTGATGTTTCTACTTTCGTTTTGTATTAACTTCTTTCTCAGTAGTTTGAATATGTTTAAAATTGGTCGTATTATACGCATTTTTGCGAATCGAGTCAGTAGGTAGAGATAATACTTTCTATGGGTTAATTATAATATAAAGCGAATGATGACGATAGAAAAGTTGAGACCTTTTGGTTTCCGATAAAGTTATTAGTTAATTTTGATCAGCTATACATGTAATTGGTAAAATCCCAGATAAAAATCATATGTATCAGGCTCTGTTGAGTCTTTTAGAAATGGTTTAATGCGATACCTTAAGTAAAAATAGGAAAGAAAGACAAAGTTTTATTTTAAACTAAAGATGTTGAAAAATTTCTAAATATAGAGTTAGAGGCCTTAAGACTTTCATACATACTTTTTACAGCAATATATACGCAATTTCAGGCTCACCTTTAAAAAGAATGACTGGTCATAACAACCTATGATCGTCTAAATTTTATTCGATGATTGATTGACTGCTGGACTATTTAAAACATGAAGTTTAATGAAAATGAAAATGTTTTTATTATTTTTTCTGTATTTATAATCAAAATCAAATATTCAATATTTAATTTCATTTTATAACTTAAAAAGAAAAAAAACATTTTATAATATAAAATATGCCGGTACATCAATCAAGAGAGGATTTTCTGTGTACGATCAATTTTGGCAGATCAAAAAGTGATAAATTAGCCCCTTCACGGTAACTGCAGTACTGCTCTTCTGCAAGGCAAATTTTGAAAACTCTACAGTCGTGACCTTGTTAGCAAAGACAATCTATTAATGGGTTGCATTTTGGCTGCGTTTCATACAATTTCTTTGCGACATTTGACTTGGAATATATGAATTTGAACATTTGACTATATATGAACATTTTGTCCACCATTCAAATCATAAAGCTTACGACGAGCCAATCTGTTGTGTGAATCTTTTATTAATTGATGTAAAAAAGTATTATTTATTTGCATAGAAATATTATTTATATCAATATACAAGCAATTTTGACAGAATTATAAATCTTAAAGCAATTTTTAGCATATAGGTTACCTTCAAAGTCACAAGGACATTGACCTTGGTGTTATTTGAAAGAGATTAATGTGAATATAATGCATACAAAATAAGAAGTCTCAATCACCTATGTTTTAAGAGTACAGAAGTTTGAAAAAGCTATTTTTAGCATAAAGGTCACAGTCAAGGTCGCAAGTCACTGACCTTGGTGTCATTTGAAAGACCTTAGTTTGTGGAGTATTCATACCAAATATGTTGTCTTTATCTTTCATGGTTCAAAAATTATGGCGAAGGTCAAAGTTGACAACAGACAGACAAACAGACCCACAACTAAACAGACAAACAGACAAACAGACAGGCAGGACAAAAACAATAATCTATCGATTCGGGCGCATAAAAATTGGTAGTTATCCTTAAAAAGATATAAAAGTTTCCGAGATCTTTTTTGAAAAGAGATCAAATAGAAAATTACATGAATATCGATAACAGACATAACTTAATGTTTACTGTTTCCTTAATTAATGTAATTTGAATAATAATGAAATAAAGCCCCTTTAAAACCACAATCGAAATTTGTTTTTAGTCATGAATCACTTTTTGGATTAATCTAAACAAAGTAGAAATACACCTTACATCAAAACATATCACACTATACCTTAAAAAGCTTCTGTACATGCT